AATAAACTACTAATTACTATTTGTACTACTATTCCTATTCGCGGTTTTTCACTTATTGTGGGGCTTCTGGGTACAGAGCACCCGCAATAAACAAGGGACTAATGTACTCACATACCTCCACAGCCACGCTCCCACCGGGCGGGGTTTATTAGAGACTACCTCCAGAATTCGGAAGTAGAGAGGATAAAGGGCCTGCCGGCAGTCTCGATCATGAAACCCACAAACACTTGTGGGATCAGCTTGAGCATGCTTTAAATTCCAGAGTGACCAATGTAGCCACTTTGGTTAACACAACAAATGCTGGTTGAAAAATGGGATGTCATCCCACAGGAGTGTGTGACTAATCTGGTGAACAGCATGAGGAGGAGGAGCCAGGCTGTTATGGCTGTGTATGGTTCTTCCATATGCTAAGTCATATTTGTTAAACTAATAAATTGTTAAATTGCCAATATGTCTTGATTATCTTCAGACTTTATTCATCCAATATAATAAACAACACTAACCAAGAGTGTGTAGCAGAATAAGCAGTCAGAGAAGTTTAGGAAATGTTTTCATGGGCGCAACCCACACAGTCACCTCTGCTGCTCAACCTGCAAGTGTATTTTCCTAACAAATGAGACACCATTAAAGCGGAAATAAACAGGCTCTTCAGCAAATTTAAAATGCCAAGAAGCATTGTTACAACAAAGAAATAATCAAACACAAATTTTCAGTTTTCTTACTTTTTCTGCTAAATTTATGACATGATGACACTGCCTTGAGAAAGTATTTGTATACTACCTCTTGAACTTAACTTTAAAGTTGTTTACTGGAATTTAATGTGATTGACCAACACAAAGTTGTAGGGGTTGTGGTCAGTTTCCTGGTGTCTAACCCCATCTTGTGTTGTGTTTCTCCCTATCCTTAGTTTCTATCTTCTATAGGGTTTGTGTTTTCCTAGTGTATGCCTCCATCGGGTGTTGTGTCTCTGTTCCTGCACTCCCCGGTTCCCTAGTTTATAATTTCCCCTGATGTGTTTCAGCTAGTATTTTGTTTCGTTAGTCACTGTATATAGTCTGCGTCTCTCTGTTAGTCCTTTGTCCTGGCATTGTAACCTGTCCACTGGTGATGTCCCTGTCTGCTTCTTGTAATTCATGTAAGTCTTGCTGTCCTTCCTTTATTTAATATTCCACCCGAGTCTTAGACTTCCTGCCTGCACCATTGGGTTTATCTAAGCCAGCGCTCTCGTTTACGACAAAAGTAGCATATATATATTTTTTTTCATTTAGCCTTTATTTATCCAGGTTAGTCTCATTGAGCCACGAGAACTCATTTTCAAGAGAGACCTGTTTAGGGAGCACATGGTGGGGTTAAGGGCCTTGCTCATGGGCCCAGGGTGCGGCGAATGAGGGTGGGGGCAAGTGTGGGTGTTTCACCTACCCCACCCACAGTTTTTTTTATGTTGTCGGGGCCAGGGCGTGAACCGGCGATCTTCGGATCACAAGCCCACCTCTCTAACCTCTGCGCCACCACTCCCCACTCCTTTTTTTAAATGTGGGAAAAGCATTTGTATATAACCCACTTTTTTTTTGGAAAACTAAAATCCAGTGCAACCAGTTCCCTCCAGAAGGCACCTAATTCCTAAATAGAGTCCATCTGTGTGCAATTTAATCTCAGTATAAATCCAGTTGTTCTGTGAAGAAGGTTAAAGAACATTAGTGATCAAACAGCATCATGAAGACCAACAAACAGACCAGACAAGAGAGAGATAAAGTTAAAGGCAAGTGTAAAGCAGGGTTAGAGTTAGCTGATGGGTAAATTAATGAAGCTATATAAATTCAAGCCAATCCTGGAAGAAAACGTGTTAAGAGGCTGAGTAAGAGTTGAAACTAGGAGGACAACTCGAAACGTCCAGCCAGAGCTAAAAAGGGATGGGTTAGAACAGCCCAGTCAAAGTCTACTGTAGACCTAAATCCAACTAAGAATTTGTGGCAAGGCTTGAAAATTGGGCAGCACAGTGGTTCAGTTGATAGAGCTGTAGTCTCTCAGCGAGAAGGTTGCCGGTTGAAATCCTGGGAAGGTCTGGCCCGGGACCTTTCTGGATGGAGTTTGAATGTTCTCTCCGTGCATGCGTGGGTTATACAGGGTGTTCCTCGCCTCTTGCACAATGAACATGGGCACCAGTGACCACTACGACCCAAAAAGGAATAATGGATGGATGGATGGCTTGAAAATTGCTGTTCACAGATGTCCTCTGTCCAGTCTTACTGAGCTTGAACTATTTTCCAAAGAAGAATTAATAACTTTTAATCTGTAGATGAGCTGGTAGAGATAAATCTCAAAAGAGCTGCAGCTGTAAATGCAATAGCAGTAGATTCTACAAAGTAAAGATTCAGAGCAACATAAATGTGGAAAAGTTGAAAGGGTATGAAGACTTTCTATGGCACTGTACATGGACTTGAAACATTCTACAACCACCTTTCTAAGGAGGGTGTCTTTTGTGACAGCTTTAACTTCTAGGTTATAGTTTTCGGATCTACTTTATCTAACAAAGTTAAGTCAGGTCCTCTGGACGGATTCTTGTTCGTTAAAACCTTTTGTCTTTTATCCAAAGACTTCATGAGTCTTAGGAGCTGCAACAAACTCAGTCTTAAAAATAGCACCTTCTCATAGTGGATCAACCAGTTTGTTGGTGACAGCCAGAACTAGCTGTTCACATGATGAAGGAGGACCATCAGCCTAACGATCAATTGTTAGTGCCCTGATGGCCGCTTGTTATTCACAAAGGGCTGAGTGATACTAGCAATAACAGCAAGAGGGGAACCGGTTCGTTGAACATGGAGGCCTCCGCCCCATTCAACGATGGATGGGTTCTTTTCATGAAGATGGCTTCCTTTAATCCCCTCTCAAACCATCGTTCCTCTCTATTGTAGTGAGATAGGTCGGTTAGCTTCGCTTAGCTTCGGAGCTCCACTACACGTTATAATATCTGGACTAGTTCAAGTACCTGATAGTTCACTACACTATCAAGGATGTGAACATCTTCATCCCTGAAAAAGTGACCACTGGCCTGGAGATGAGTGTAGACCGCAGAGTCCTGGACTGATGATGTTGCTCTACAGTATATTCCTGACCTGACTTTGTTAGATTGTTCTACCTGTATTATTGATCATGCATCATGAGATCTAGTTTATCATACACACAGTCTAAGGTCTTACCTCATCAGTCATCAGTGTAGCAATGGATCGACCAATTTCATGATACTGTGGACCTTTCCCCAGAGGCCCAAGGAGGATAAACAAAAACCTGTGAAACAAAAAGAACAAGAGGTTCTGGGTAAATAATGGATTATTTTCTGGTGATGCATGTAGGGGAATGTTTGGGGTCAGATAGCTCCAGGGTTTTCTGGCACATGAGGTTTTACAGTTTACCTGGTGGTGATGGGAACTTCAGTCAGGCCATTGAGCAGCACAGCAGGAGACAGGCGGACGAAGGCCACTACAGGGCGGTCAAGAAAGTCCAGTTCTCCTACCAAGACGTTGGAAGCCTCCGCACCAGGAGGGATCTTCTTCATGAAGTGGAGGTCAATCTGTTGGACAGGAAAAGACAATAAACAAAACTGTATTTGGACAAAAGACTGGTATAAATGTTTGTGTGATTAAAAAAATGCATTGAATAAAGAACGATAGCGTAAAAACAAGTTGTGATATAAAATCTAATGAAAAGTCCTTTTACAGCCAAATTTGAAACATTGATTCACACAACTAAAAAAATAACATCTAGGTTTGTATTGCAAGAAGTTTGTGATGACCATTTCACATGAAAGCCAATCCTAGTTAAATATACAGCCCTCGTTGGGTATCCAGCTATCGTTGACCGTGGATAAACAGCTGGATCAGTAGTGGTTCTGGTCACTCACCTTGCTGAAGTCAACAGCGCTGTTTTCTCGGCTGACATCCTGTCTGCTCTCGTTGCTGGGTGGCTGAGCCTGGGGTGAGACTGTTTGGCCTGTCAGAGAACAGAAAAATAATATCAATTTTCACCCAAGCTCAACCGATTGCCCTATTGTTTTCTCAAAAAAGGAGACAATGGCCTCCAATGTGTGACTACATAGTCAATATCCACTCTGAAAAAACGTTATTCAAAACTTGGCCTTACAGATACTTTCTTTAGTACTGAAATTTCTAGCCAATGGAGAAAAAGACAATATTGATGAATATGTTCCAGTGGTTCCCAACCCTGGTCCTTGAGGAACACCATCCTGCATGTTTTAGTTGTTTCTCTGCTCCAACACACCTGATTCAGTGATTTAATTACTTCCTCATGTTCTGCAGAAGCCTGTTAATTATACATTAATTAAAATCAGGAGTGCTGGAGGAAAGAAACAACTAAAACATGCAGGATGGTGTTCCTCAAGGATCAGGGTTGGGAACACCTGTAGACATTTAGGAGCCCTAATAAAACATTGGGTATTAAATCAATGGTGCAGTTCATGGCAACAAATAATGCATTGTACATGTATATGTCTTCTTCATCTTCTTTCGGCTTTTCCCGTTTCAAGGGTCGCCACAGCAAGTCATCCTCCTCCATCTCACTCTGCATCCTTTGTCCTCATTCCAACTACCTCCATGTCCTCTCTAACTGCATCCATAGATCTCTTCTTTGTCTTTTCCTGGCAGCTGCATTTGTAACATCCTTCTACCAATATACCCACTGTCCCTCTGGACATGTCCAATACATCTCAGTCTGCCTCTCTAACTTTATTTCCCAGTTGTTCTACCTGTGCTGTACCTATGATGATCTCATTATTTTGTGCTGAAAGGCGAAACGTTTTAGCACAAAAAAAAGAAGAAACTGTCCAGATGACCTGACTGAAAAATGTTGGATCTTCATTTCTGCCACTTCCAATTCTTTCTCCTGTCTTTTTGTCCATGTCACTGGCTCCAGACCATACAACATAGCTGGTCTCACCACTGTCTTGTAAACTTTTCCTTTGACCATTGCTGACATCCTTTTTGTCACAAATCACTCCTGAAACTTTTCTCCATCCACTCCATCCGGCCTGGACACTCTTTTTCACCTCTTTACCACATTCCCCATTTTCCTGAACAGTGGACCCCAAGTACTTGAAGTCCTGCACCTTTGTGACCTCTGCTCCTTGTAGCCTCACTGTTCCACCGGCCTCCCTCTCCATCACACATGTACTCTGTCTTATTACGGCTGACTTTCGTTCCTATTCTTTCAAGTGCATACCTCCACCTCTCCAAGTTCTCTTCCACCTGTTCCTTGTTCTCACTACAAATCTCAATGTCATCTGCAAACATCATAGTCCATGGGGATTCCTGCCTGACTTGACCTTGTGTGGAATAGGAAAAAGTCAACAATAAATTCTAACCTGTGCACACATTTCTTGATTTTTAAAATAATTGAAGTTGTACGTTGATAATCATTCCACCATGGTGGGTGGGTGGGGGATGAATCAAAAGGATCATTAACCAAAATTACTGACATTTGTGCCTAAAATGAGTTGATGAGTTGACTTCTGATCACAACTATAGATTAAGCTTAAACTAGTACGGTATTTTTAAAAAAAGGGGTTTTGGGAACAGCTCGATTTATTATGATATAATCCACTGTATTATGTTCTTTGCTACTGTTGTCTTTAGACTCTGATGTCACTTCTAATTGACTGTACAAGTTTCCTGATTTATGTCCTCTGAAGCAATGGGAAGGCAGATGTATGCAACTGCCTAAAAGTCACGAAGATGTTTAGTCGTGGTTTTGCCATAGGGTGTGTCTGAGGTCATGAGGTCACCAATTCTGTGGAAGTTTGAACAGACACTTGCACTGTTACACTCTGCTGATGCGCTCTAAAGGAAAAAAAAATATTTTTTGGATAAAGCAAACAAATTTTAAGCAGAAAACACAAACCAATATAGAAATAAGATTCTTGACATGCGTTTGTGTGCATGTTTACCATTCTTGTCCATGGAATGAGGCTCAGACTGCTTCTTGCCAATATCAGCAAAGGAACGTACAATAGGAATGCGATTGGCCAGTTTCTTTTGATTTTGATGGTGGTGCTGTTTGAGCAACGCCTCGCGGATCCTCTTTCTGGCATCCTCGCCAACAGTTCCCGATGCCTCATGCTGATCTAGAACCATGTCTTAGAGGTGAAAGAGAAAACAGATTGACTGACTGTGTTTTTACCTCTGAACTTTATATTGCATTGATTTATGAATCCACAAAAGCTTCTCCTCATAGTGTCTAGCTCTGCGTGACAGCCAGCAAACGCTAAGCTGATTAGGGCAACAAAAACTGACCCACTGTGGACAATTTAATCACACTAAATCAGTTTAAATTCAACTGATTTATGTAGCAGCACACTGCTTTTGTCAGTAAACTAAGCATTCCTCACTGGCTTCAAAAAATAAAGTCCCAGTTCTATGCTCCAAACATGGACAAATTAATTTTTGGGTCGTTTATTATGGCCCCTTATAGATTGATTTTTTTTTAAAGGAAACATTTTTTTTAACCAGTTTTTACCTTTTTTATGTTCATACAACAAAAACACTGAAATCCCCATGCTACACCACTAGATGGTGACAACATCCACATTAACTTATCAAAATACAAATATATATATATATTTCAAGTTTGCCTATATATTATTATTAGGACAATAATGTTCTTAGATAGAATGTACTTGGTGAAAAAACATAATCAAAAATAGTGTTTCGCCAAGCTAAGAACAAGCAACATTATTTTATGCAAAAAGCACACGAGGAAAACCATGGTATGGTTGTTGGAACCGTGTCAATAAATACCACTAAACCATCAAGTTGAAATGACCATAATAAATAAATCAGCTTTAAAATACTGCATTAGCTTAATGGTTTTTTTTCTTTGGCAATCCATTGCCTCAAAAATTGGTTATTTTGGTTTGTTTGCCATTGATTTTATGATGAAATTTGGCATCAAGCAGGTTGTCCAGTCATGTCCAACTAGGAGGAGACACTGGGGAAGACCCAGGGCATGCAACCCAACTGCAAAACAGATACTAGATAGATAATGGATCAATGGATTTGGGGTCAAACTCTTCTGAGGAAATTTAAACTGCAAAACCTATTCTTTCTTCATCCTTTCTTAAACTCTATGAAACAGTGCTACAATTAAACAAGAGAAGAAGAACTGCCAATAAAAGCACAAAAATGAGATAGTACAGGAGCCCAAAGGGAGCGAGTCCATATAAAAATGTCAATACAGAACAGTTTTGAGAAATATCGTTGAACGTTGTTACACAAAGCATTAGTTGGCTTTGTTCAAGTTCAAGTTCAAGTAGGTTTATTGTCATTTCACCACATGTGGTACATGAAGTGGAACAAAATTATGTACACAGGGTCCCAGTTATATCCTTTGTACATACATACTTTGCAGTGGTCAAACTGAAAATAATACAAATGTAATTTTCCATGCATATCCCACGCTGTCTGATTAGTTTGCCAAGAACATTCTTATTTAAGAAGGTTCTTTAGCCAATGGTGTATTTTAGCCAAGCTCAGCAATATTTCAAAAATAATAAACAACATCACACGCGCCTAGGTAAATGAAATAAAGTGCAAAATATAAAAATGGCCAAATTTATTTGAACAAAATGTTAAGTATTTTCTTAGATCCTAGGGTCAACTCCATGAACCTTGAGAACAAAGTATTGCTAATGAGAGATGAAGTTCAAAATAGAGAATCTGCAAACCGTGTTTACCTGCAATCTCTTCCAAAGAGTTGGCCCTCATGTCGAGCATGACAATGCCGTTCATGATGCAGCTGCGGAGCTCAAACAGACTGTGTAGAGACAGAGTAGCCACGTAGGGTTTACTCCACCGCTCACCACCATCTTCAACGTCCTCCTCGAACTTCAGCCATCTGCAAACAAATGTTTGAAAATGCTTTTTGGTCTGCAATTAAATTAAGAGATGCACCCCCCTTTTGGACATGAACAAAGTCTCAGTGTATCAAAGGATAAACCACAGCTGGCCCAGCCTGGCCTCCATGGTTGTTAGCAGTGGTATATACCTAGCTGTCTCTTTCCATTCGGCATCCTCACCCTCCTTGAGGCAGATTTCATCCATCTCCGTGAACAGGGCATGAGGGATGTGTTCTTCATCATCTTCTGTACCAAGCAGGAACTGGACCCTCTGCGCTGGTGTGTCTGAAGAGACAAATAGAAGTGGAGAACAAGTAAAAAACAAAAAGAACAGGAACATCATGTGACATCAGTATTTCTAAATGTACTGTACAAGATGCATACTGTGTGAGGGTGATTCCCTCCCATCGTCAGTTGTGGAGTCCCTCTCCTTGGACCTCTTCCTGTGTCTGTGTCCATGGTGACGATGACGCCGGTGTGACCTTCGACCCAAAGGAACATGGACCCCGATGTAGAGGGTGCGATGACCTGTGTAGTGAACCAGATGACCTCAAATCTACCAGATGGACAGAGACTGTTATTTCCATTGATCTGAATAAGTCTGGGCCATCTGATGACTTTCTTTCTTGAATTAATCAAGCAGAAAAGACAATTCTTTATAATCATTACTGTCTTACAAATGTTTTGATAATCAAATTGTGTTAGTTCACTCAATGCTTATAGGTTGAAAAGAACTACTCATCTTTATTTTACATAAACAGTAAGTAATGATTTTTATTCCTCACTCCAAGAAGAAATCACCTGAATAAGCATTCCTTGATTTTCTGTCTGAAATGAGTCAAGTCGTAAGTATGTGAAAGGTTGGTTTTCGGTCAACTAAAATGTTTACCGAGAAAAATGTCATGTTTAAACTTTTTCAGAAGATTACCAAGAGTTGACTCCACGAAGTCTGCTGTTGCTGCAATAATCTTTTCTGTATGTGAAAACAAATTTCATTCTCTGACCTCGACTGTTGATAAACACCTTACGTCAAAACCACTCCTCTTTCTGGTCCTTCCACGAATCAGAAAGCTCTAAATTGAACAGGAAGTCGACCCAAATAAAATGTGGCAACTTCTCAGTTCATGTTAGATTGAGAGTTCTGGAGTGATATGGAGTTCCAAGAGTGAGAGTTCTTGGAAGATGAAGATTGAGAGTGATATGGAGTTCCAAGATTGAGAGTGCAGCCGGTTCTGAAAGTTTCAGAGCAATGAAGAGTCCAAGAGAGCAATGAAGAATCCAGAGGTTTTTGGGATTATAATTCTGTTTTGAGCTAACTACGCACGACTCTCTGAAGGTTTGGTAGTTCTCGACGGAGACGCTGAAACGAGTCAGAAAGGAACTACTCCGACGCTGATTCATCATCAACAGGTAGATGGTTCTATTTCGACCAAGTGTACCGTGAGAAGCTGAGATCGGACGGAGCGTGCAATTTCTGGTTAAACAGATTAAATTTCCCTCACATATTTCCTCTGTAAGATAAATCTCAATTTACTCTTAAACTCACCTCTCTCTCATAAATCAGTGCAGATATTTTTAGAAATATCTGAAGCAAAGTCCTCAAATCACCGCCGAGTGATTTGAAGTTCATTATTTGTGAAACTGTCTGTTATTATTTTCATATTTTGCCAAATTAATGTAAATGTTTGATGTTAAACTTTGATTCTGAAAATAAATGATTCCATTCATTTGATGGGTCAAAGGTAATAACGTCTCTCGTTACATTTTGTGTTAAATTCAATGCACGGCATTTACAGTCAGAAAGATGAAGAACTCGTGAAAAGTATGCATAAATATATATCCATATATTTGTCATACAACAAGTGACACGTACCTCACGTGACTCACTACACCTGAAAGCGATGGTCAAAATGGTCAGAAAAGAAAAGCCAACTGACCAACGACATGTTGAATGCATCATTGTAAATATGTACTAAAGAGAACTAACAAACAGAAAATATAAAACTAGGGCTACACTATATAAGAACAACAAAAAGTTTTCTTTCGTCTGCTCCTTTTTTTGTGGTTACAACAGTGAGCGAACTCACATGAAAGATTTGGCAATTGTCTTATGCCGGATGCCCTGCCTGATGCAACGTGGGCTCCAACTCGCAACTTCAGGATTACAAGACAGCGGCATTGACTACTGCAGCTGTACTTATAAGAACAATATGCAATTGCCAAATCAATGAGTATTTCAGATTTCTGGGTCTACCTCAGAGTCACCTTCCAGTGAGAGGTCCCCAGAAAACATCCACAAGAAGGCATTTTGAACAAATGCCTGTCACCTCAGCTGAATCCTTTTGATGTAGAGTAGTGTCTCTACTCCAAACTACCCTAAGATCATAAAGCACCTCACTTTTATTTTAACGCCGAGTCTATTCACCTTACTAGGAAGTCTGTTTCGGTTGCTTGTATTCAGGATCTTGTTCTTTCGGTCACAATTCATACTTCATAAGCAGAATACTGCAACATAGATGGATGAGTAAATTGAGAGTTTTGCCTTTGGACTTGTTTCTTTCTTTGCTATGACGGACTGGAGCATTGTCATCATTACTGTGGATCCTCGATTATCAATTCATCCCCCTTGTCATCTCACCATCACTCGTGAACAAGACTTGGAGTTACTTGAACTTGCCCACATTCTACCTATTCCCAGTAGATGGCTTTAGACTTGGAGGAGCCCCTTCATACTCAACTGCAAACTGACCCAGTGCACACCGGAGGTCAAGACATAAAGATGTCAAATGAATTATATTATCTAAGAAAAGCAGAGGAGAGACCCTGAGATTCCCAAATTAGAAGTTCTCCTCTCCTTGACTGTCCCTTGATATCCTGTCCATGATGTCCACAGACTAAGACAAGGAACAGCCCTGGTGAAGTCCAACTTCTGCCAATCCATCCATCCATCCATTATCTTCTGCTTGTTTCGAAGTCGGGACACGGATGCAGCCGCAGGGAGGCACAGCCACCTCTTCCAGCTCTTCTGGGAGGACCCCAAGACATTCCCAGGCCAACCGAGAGGCTATAGTCTCTCCAGCGTGTCCTGGGTCTTCCCTGGGGTCTCATCCCAGTCTGACATGCCTGAAGCACCTCCCTAGGGAGACGCCCAGGGGGCATCCTACTATTCCATCCTACTATGCTGAGAACGAGAATGAGCTTAACTTAGTGCAAAGGACATGTACACAGCTCTTGTTTTGGTTGTACAAATAAATTACATAGTGCACTTGATATTTGTGATATTCAATATATTTTTGATATATCGTGTAGCCATAGATAAAACCAAGTCCTGGTCTTATACTTCTATAGTTGTTGATGCATAAAATATTGGTGGAACATAGATTTAATCACGGCTGAGAGTTGTATGCTAAAACTGCCTGAGACTTCTGAAATGTACACATTTATTTTTAAACAGATTTATTTTTCTGTGTTTGAGCTGTAAGTAGCCTCATAAGTCAATCTAGGAAAGCTTCACAATTTTTCAATGTGTAAGAAATTTGTTGGGACTGTAAGCTGGATGAAAATTTTATTTGGTCAGTTTAACAATGGTCTTTATTATTCTTGTTATTGGGAAAGGATGACTCACACAGACTACAGTCGTGATTTTTGTTGAGGAACCAACGGGTTGCCAGTCACGACTCTCAGCCCAGTCCAGGTGAAAAAATATTCTCACACTGCCATTGTTTATTCTAACAAGAACAGTTTGAAAATATAATATTGTGTCTTTTGACGGTGTTGCACAGATTGATTAGAAGATGGTTACCATGAATAAATTTTGGGTTATATTCATGCAGAGACAAAGGAAACCCAGAACAGAGCAGATATGGGCAAACCAGCAGCCATAATACAGACTCAAAAACCCCATTTCACTCATTAGCTCTACCTTTACATTTTGTTTGTTCTTGCTGAGGTGATTAGGACATCCCAGCAAAGGATGTTTTGAATTTCCCTTGAAATCAATAAAGTATTTATCCACCAATCTGTTTTCATTATTTTGGTAGTGTGGACTGAGAGTGAAATAGTCCAGCTATCTGATATTTCAAATGGGGATTTTTCAGGGGCATTCTTCAAATGTAGTGGAAAACTCAAGTCTTCTGTCTTCTCAGTTGAAAAATGCCTGTAACGACCACCAGCCTAGTTTAATGCATACCAAAAAATGTTGATTTCATTGTCAATCTTCCTTAAGCCACAAAAACACATCAAATTGTATAGTGCTCAAGAAGTTAAGTCAGTGATTATCAAACGTTTGTGCTTGCGACCCATAAAATAAAGGTTACAGACACTCATGGACCCAATTACTGCATGTTAGGATAATTGGTAACTCTAAATTGTCCCTAGGTGTGAGGGACAGTGTGAATTGTTGGCTTTATGTGTCCCTGTGATGGCCTGTCCAGGTTGTACCCCATCTCTCACACAGTGACTGCTGGACATGGGCACCAGTGAGCCCTGTGACACAGAAAGCTAAAAGTGGGTAAAGGTAATAGACGGATGGATGGATGGTAAAAAAAGCAATGGGCTACTTAACAAAGAGCTTTGTCAAACACTATGTAGTTATCATCTGCAGCCTAAAGCAATATCCATCCATCCAACCCTTATCTTTTACCCGCTTCTTCCATTTTGGGTCACGGGGGTCGCCGGTGCCCATGTCCAGCAATCAATGTGCGAGGGGCGGGGTACACCCTGGACAGGTCTCCAGTCCATCACAGGGCCACATAGAAACCAACGAGACAAACAAACATTCACTCTCTCACTCACACCTAGGGACAATTTAGAGTTACCAATCAGCCTAACATGCATGTTTTTGGTCTGTGGGAGGAAACCAGAGTACCCGGAGAAAACCCACGCATGCACGGAGAAAACATGCAAACTCCACCCAGAAAGGTCCCCGGACTGGGATTTGGACCAGGGACCTGCTTGCTGAGAGGCAACAGCTCTACCAGTTGCGCCACCGTGCTGCCCGCCTAAAGCAATATGCAGATGATAATGCTTTTGCTAGCACTATATGTTGTCAACATTGTATGTTCCCATACAATGACAAAATTGGTTCTTTGCATTTAACCCATCACACCTGGGATATACACAGGTGGAGCAGTGGGAAGCTACTGAACATACAGGGAACAATTAGGGATTGTGTGTCTTGCTCAGAGATACCATGACATGTGGGAATGGCTGGGAGTCGAACCATGACTTTCTGGTCACTTTCTGGTTGGCTAACCTACCTCTACCCCATCTCGGCCCATCTCGATATATATGCGTTTGTGTTTTTTGTCCATTAGCAAGTTATTATGTTTAGCCCTGAAGAAGATTTAAATTAAACTTTCTGAAACTACTCATTGGGTCTACAATCGAACATATTTTAGAGTCCACACAATTTCAAATGACCACCACTGTTTACTGAACGTAGAACAACAAAAATGGCTCTAACTTTGGCAGTTTTACAGAAATTGAGCTGAAACAGGGTATGGTAGTAGCTGAGAGTTATTCTCCAT